TCAGGCGGAGGTCTATGCCCGCTGTGCCCTCCGGTATGCCCTGCAACCTCAGATTGTTCTTTCTGCTCCTGTTCTCTCCATCCAAAATATGTAGTTGAACATCAATGAACTGGCGGCGATAGTCAGTTCGGCCCCCTTCCAGTACCAAGAGCCAAGTCTCCATGTCAGTGGAGGCAGACTCCAGAGCAATCACTCTCCTCCACTGAGTCAATCTGTTGATGTAGGTCCTGGATCTCGAGAGAGAGAGAGCGTTGACAATAAAGGTTGCCATAGCCTGCATATCCTTCTTGGGCGGCAGCTTGGCGATCATTCCCCGGAGGTCACCATCATGGTGTAGTGTCGGGGGTAAGGAGGGAGTGGGATCCCTAGGGAAGTCCGTTCAAGGCAGTATAGGCATAGAGATAAGGGAGTCTGGGCTGGCTGCCGAGGTGGCCACCGCTGATGTAGAGAGCATCTGTGCAGCAGACGATTTCCTGGAGAAGGAAGATACAGCCTGTCCGGATTTTATTGGTGCCATCTTGGGTAGAAAGGCGGTAGTCAAGGCCAGAGACCCTACTGAATGTTGCAGCAGGAAATATTGTGTGCTCTCCTGATTGTGTGGTCCCCCGTGCGCTGACGGATGTTTCCTATTATCAGGCATTGCAGCTGCCAGAGTGGGCTAGACTGGGTGTCTGGGCAGCGATCTCGGCAAAGCTCTCCAAGAAGCTTGTTCATGCCGCCATGTCCAAGCCATGCCCTCAGCCAAAGCTCGTTTGACTGTACTTCTGTAGATTACAGGAGTGCAGTTCGGTTTGCACTCCTGTGTCCATTTTCAACTGACAGCGGGCTAAAGTCTGCTATTGGCTGGTGTCACTCCAGATTCCTGGACTGGCACCTGGCTCAGCATCTCAGTGAGCCGCTGAGAGCCACAGCGCTCCAGTGAACGCTGGGAGGGTAGAGCAGAGAGAGGTGACCTTCAGTCTGCTCAGAGCAGGGACCTTCAGTCTACTCAGAGCAGCATGGAGAATTGAGCGATCAGTGGTGTCTGTTTGCTCAGTTCTCACCCTAAGAGCCAGCGGAGGACAGATGCAGCATGCTGAGTCCACGTAGGTAAGTCTAAAAAAAAAAAAAAAATCCAATACTTATCTTTTAAATAAAAAAAAAGGTTTATATTTACCTGCTCTGTGCAGGGGTATTGCATTAAGCGTCCCCTCTTATGGGGTACCCCGCCAGTGCTGTGTGCTCCTACTCTTCTGCGTGTGCCCCCATATCAAGCTGTGTGCTATGGGTGCACATGGCGGGTGTGCACACCAAGCTGGGCTATGTGCATCCATAGATACACACAGTGCAATTCAGCCCCGCCCCCCACTCCCTCCTCACAGGATTTGACTGACAGTAGCAGGAGCCAATAACACCTACTGCTTTCAGTGAAGACTGTGAGAGCAGGAAGAGTAGAGAGAAGAGCTGCAGACAGGTACAGTGCTGGATCGATGTGGGATTCGGGCACATGGGGGGGGGGGGGAACAGGCAGTGGAAGGTTTTTTACCTTAATGCAGAACCACTTTAATAATAACATACATTTACTAATCACAATGCATTTTGATGTGCAGTGTGATGTACAAGGACCCTAAGCAGGGGATGTCTTTAATGATCATTGTATGGAGCTTCAAGATAGGAATTGGTCCTGATATTAATTTTTATTTGTCACTAAAATATTATTAAAACACATTAACAATATGTTTTTGCAACCCCAATTCCAAAAAAGTTAGGACACTGTAAAATCTACATAAAAACAGAATGTAACTATTTGCAAATCTCATAAACCCATATTTTATTCATAATAGAAATAGAAAATATATCAAATGTATAAACTAAGAAAATGTACCATTTTAAGAAAAAAATAAGGAAATTATGAAATTGATGGCAGTAACACATTGGGACAGGGCCATATTTATCATGATATAGCATCCCCTCTTCTTTATAACAACACTCTGTAAACGTCAGAAAATTGAGGCTTTTGGGAGAGGAATGTTGTTCCATTCTTGCCTGATATAGAATTCTAACTGTTCAACAGTCTTGGGTCTGTATTGTATTTTTCAGTTCAAAATGCACCAAAGATTTTCAATTGTTGAATGTTCTGGACTGCAGGCAGGCCAGTTAATCACCTGGACTCCTCTAGTACGAAGCAATGCTGATGCTGAATGCTTTCCCTGAAAAAGATGTTGTCTGGATGGGAACATATGCTGCTCTAAAACTTGGATATAGCTTTCAACATTGATGGTGCTTTCTAGATGTACAATCTGCCCATTCCATACACACTAATGCACCCCCATACCATCTAAGATACAAGATTATAAACTGAGCACTGATAACAAGCCCAAAGGTTCCTCTCCTCTCTAGCTCGGAGGATACAGTGTCCATGGTTGCCAAAAAAGACTGTCAAATTTAGATTCATCTGACCACAGAACAGTTTTCCATTTTGCAACAGACCATGTTAAATGAGCTTTGGTCCAGTGAAAATGGCGGTGTTTCTGGATCATGATCAGATATGGCTTCTTCCTTGCATGACAGAGCTTTAACTTGCATTTTAGGATGACACAGCAAACTGTGTTCACAGACAGTGATTTTTGAAAGTATGCCTGAGCCCACACAGTGATGTCACAGAATCATGCCTGTTGCTAGTGCACTTTATGTTATTATGTACTGTAGATGATGATGATGATATATTTAAAGTCTCTGTAATTTTACATTGAGGAACATTATTCTGAAATTGTTTGACAATTTGTAGACGCAGCTTTTCACAGATTAGTGAACCTCTGCCCAGCTTTACTCCTTAGGCACTCTGACTCTTTAAGATGCTCTTCATACCCAATCATGTTACTGACCTGTTGTCAATTAACCTAATTAGTTGCAAAATGTTCTTCCAGCTCTTCCTTGTTAGTACCACTTATTTTGCCAGCTTTTTTTTTACCCTGTCCCAATTCTTTGAGATGTGTTGCTGCCATCAATTTTAAAACATGCTTTTTTTTCTTTAAATGGTACATTTTCTCAGTTTAAACATTTGATGTGTTTTCTATTATCTACCCATATTGTAAAATGTTATGATATTTGCAAATCATTACATTCTGTTTTTACGTATATTTTACTCACTTGCTGACCACCCACAGTACATCTACTGTGGGCAGGTGGCAGGTACAGGCAAATCGACGTACCCATACGTCATTTTGCCTGTACAGAAACAGGGTGTGCAGCACTCGCCACACTCCCCGCCCCCCCTAGTGGAATGCGGATCCCAGGACTTGGGGCCTGGTGATCATGTGATCACAAGGTCAACAAAGCTGTTATTAATCAATATGATTCATAATGTCTTTGCTTCTTTTATTAGTGAGGTTAGTGAGCTGTGGTTGGCCCACATTTATCACATTGTGCCTGGGCCAATCACAACACCCTGTACCATGTGATTAGCTGTAGCCACTCACATATTACTAGTATTCACAGCTGTCTTAACCCATTAATGACAGTTCAAAGCATTGCTGGTACAATGATCTTCATTGTACCAACAATCAAAGTGTAAAAAAAATCATGGGTGTCACCAATCAGTGTCCCTGATCATCACCACACCAATCATATAATGATGCTGTACTGTGTTGGTGACTGTATTAATTTTTTTTGTTTTCTAAAAAATTGTGACACAAAAATTACAATTTCAAAAAACATGCCATGCCTCTTACTAAATACCTCAGACTGTCTACTTTCCAAAAAAGGGGTATTTATACTGTCCTGGCATTTTAGAGTCTCAAGAAATAGGATAGGCCCTCAGTACATTAGGATTGATCAATTTTCAAATACATATCCCATAGTTTGTGGACGCTATAACTTTCCTACAGACTAAATAATATACACTTATTGGGATTTGTTTTACCAAAGACATGTAGCAGAAAGAAATTAATTGGTCCCAATATGAATTTTAGTTTGGGCCAATAAAAGGGTTTATCAGCCCACGTGTTTCAGTGGTTATGCACAATCCCCCTTCATCACGCCTATACTATAACAGAAACAGATTTGTTTTTGTTATTTTTATTACACCAATGTATCAATTCATGAATTCCATAAAAATAATTACAACTTCAATTCCAACAAAAGTTGGGATGCTCTATAACCACTTCAGCTCCAGAAGATTTTACTCCCTTCACGACCAGATCATTTTTTGCTATTCAACACTGCTCGAATTTAACAAAATTTATATAATTTTTTTTTCACACAAATAGACTTTCTTTGGTGGTGTTTTTTATTTTTTAATATATAAACGAAAAAAGAAAATGTTTTCTATTTTTTGCTATAAAATATATGCAATAAAATAAAAAAGTCAAATCTCTTCATAAATTTAGGCCAAAATGTAATCCTCTTGCTGATGATTCTCCCAGGGACCCTGTTCTGGCTTCAATAGGAAGCTGCCCACTAAAGCATTCATTTGATTTATATGGGACCTCTACCATGCTTGATGTCCAGCACTCTACCACCTGAATTCCAGAATAATCTAATGTTCACAGAAATGAGAGTGTTAAAGTATGATGGGAAGAGAAATGCAGAGACGGTAAAGCATTAAAAAATAAATATTTTATGTTTTACTTGTATCTTTGACTTTGCATTCATGTTCATTTCCATTCATTACTGAGCTAATATCACCCCATTTTACTGCAAAGGAAAGCCGAGCCAGGAACAGATGAATAGACCACTGCATGCCATTGTGTGTATTCTGTGTATACTTCTATAGAATATTCTATGTGCACCCCCACGCTGTCCAATGCTGGGCTCAATGACTCTGCTATTTACTCTTCTCAAGTGACACGAACCTAATTATTTTAGATTAGTTGGAGACGCTGAAGTCACGCAGAGCTTAGTAAGAGGAGTTCCTGTCTTTTTTAAAATATCTATTTAGTCAAATGCTGGTATTCAGTGAAATTAATTAATGTGCAAGGGATTGGTTTACCAAAGCATTGACTTTGGTTTTTGTTTTTCAGAAAGGCACACTAGAATGGTATGAAAAGACCTACATGTCATACAAACCTGTGGAAAAGGTGAGTCCAACGATTTACTGGTGTTCATGTCAAATTGATTCAGAACCCAAAGTTAGTAAACAAATAAACAATTTAGCCCATATCATGTATACTGTACTCATAGCAAACTTGGATCAAATTGTTGTTGAATAATGCTTTCTGTAAATACCCATAAAGCAGCTTAGTACAAGATCCCCGTCGTCCTCTACATACATGCAAAAAATAGAAGTCATGCACACAGAATGCCTTTTCTAAATTATAAAATGGGAGGGAAATCACAAATTGAAGCTTGGAGTCCCTATAGGTGGCTTAAAGATGAACTCCAGGCAGATATAAAAAGACACAAAATAATACAGCTTTGAAATTATTAACATCATGAAATTTATTTTTACATGCAAGCAGTGTAATTACCTGAATTTGACCTGGTATCAGATGTACTGCAGTAGAGGAGCATGCCCATAGGAGGAAAGGGAAGAGTGATAGATGAGCTACTCTCCTTTCACTGTTTAGTCACTATGGGGTAGATTCATTAGAAATGGAGCACTCAGAATCTGGTGCAGCTGTGCATGGTAGCCTATCAACGTCTAACTTGTTTAGTTAAGCATTAGCAAAAAAAGCCTAGAAGCTGATTGGTTTCTATGCAGAGCTGCACCAGATTTTGCTGTTTCCAGTTTTAGTAAATAACCCCCAATGAGTGTAGGAAGGATATCTGTAAGATCAACAGTGGTACTGCAGCAGTGAAAGTGCAGGGCTCCTCCCCTATCATGCAGGGTTGCGTTGCACAGTGGAGCTGTGTAAATCTCAGGACCAAAGGGACAGAAATGCAAATCTGTTGGCAGATAAAACAGCTACCATATATGTATTTTATATTTGTATATACAGTGGGTATAGAAAAGAATTACCCCCCCCCCCCCCCCCTTTAAAATAATCACATTTTGTTGCATTGCAACCTGACAGTTTTTGTTTTATCCAACTGTATTTACCAGTGCAACTTATAACATCCAAGTGAAAGATATAACAGCAACATGTCAGGGGAAAAAAAAAATCGAAAACAGAATCACTGAGTTGGTAAAAGGATCACCCCTCTCCTACAAATGACTTGTAAACTCAATCAGGTGTAGCTAATCACCATCTCAATGGCACACAAACCCATTTGACTTTCAACTGTGATCAGCTGTGCTCATTTTGATTAGCTCAACTTGAAAAGAGCTTTTCTGGAGCATTTCAGTCCGTGATAGTGCAACTGAAGCAAACAATCAACTATGGGTGGCAACGTACTGTCAAAAAAAATCTCCAGGATAATGTTGTGGACAGGAACAAGTCAGGAGATGGATATAAAAAAAATTCAAAGACTTTATCAATGCCTAGAAGCACAGTTAAGTCTATTATTAAGAAGTGGAAGGTATTTGTACAACAAAGATCCTCCATGGATCAGGACGTTGCTTCAAACTGGATGCAAGAACCAGGAGGAAACTGGTCAGAGAGGCTACCAAGAGGCCTACAGCAACTCTGAAGCAGTTGCAGGAATTTATGACAAAGAGTGGTCATTGTTAGTATGTGTTTGTGACAACAATATCCCAAATTCTCCACAAATGTGGCTTGTATGGGCAGGTTGCAAGAAAAAAGCCACTTCTCAAAAAAGGCCACATGCAGTCATGACTGAACTTTGGCAAAACGCACCTTGGAGATCCTGAGCCCACATGAAAAAAGGTGTTATGTTCAGATGAGACTAAAATTTTATTATTTCATGAATGTCCTTGCATGGCCTAGTCAGAGCTCGGACTTAAACCCCATTGAAAAATCTGTAGAATGAATTGAAGACTGCAATCCACAAACGGTCACTATCAAATTTACCTGAACTTGAGCAGTTCTGCAAAGAAGAGTGAGCAAATATTATAAAGTCTAGATGTGGAAAGTTAGTAGACATATCCCAACAGACTAAAGGCTGGAATTAAAGCAAAAGGTGGTTCAACAGAATACTGGCACAAGAGGGTGATTCTTCTTCCAACTCAGTGATTCTGTTTTTGAATTTGTTTTAAGTTTTTCTGACATGTTGGTGTTATATCTTTTACTTGGATGTTATAAGTTGCACTGAGTGAATACACCTGGATAAAAAAAAAACTGTCTGTCTTTATTTCACGTTGCATAGCAGCAAAATGTGATTATTTTGAAGGGGATGATTCTTTTCTATACCCATTGTAGCTGTTTGCCTGGAGTTCAGCTTTAATATGGGCAACTCAGATGCAAAATTCAGGAAACATATTCGGACTACTTTGGCAAAGTGAAGGCTAACTCTGCCTGGTGTGTGCAGCAAACTAGCAAAGGGATCCCCTTCCACGCTTTCCTAGTCCACATAATGAGTCAGTGCTCTGTTCTTCATTGCCTTCTAGGGGGTGCTGCCAAAGACAAAACACTTACCTTGTTCCATAGTAGGCTTGACCGTACTGTAAATCCCAAACAAATGATAGCTGTCTGTAGAGGCAGCCAAGTAGGTCTGAAGGGGCTTTACTGGTGTATTACTATCTCCTAAAAAGCACAAACATACATTGAGTGAAAAATCTAATTTTATTAATGTCAATTCAACCCAACATATCAGGTTGATTGACACTAAAATCCAAATCAAACAAAAGAGTTTAAAAACATCTGCCTATATTTAGAGTAAACAAAACCCCTTATGTCCATAGCCCCATCCACAGCATGTATATATACATACAAACTACATTTGAATGCTCTAGAAGAGGCCACAAAATCAACCCACTGGATGTAGAACAAATCAGTATAATATGTAGAGTGTTACATCATGATAAAAGACATATGGTTGTGGAGGAGTTATAGTTTCTGAATGCATTTTGCTGACATGTTTCTGCAGGAGAGTGGTGTTTGGATAAATATCTGGGTGGTTCTTACATGAAAGTCATGAGCAAAGGCCACTACTAGGGACCATAGGAGTGAGTAAAGGGCAACACACAGCAGATGCCAAATACCAAGCCAAAATAACAGGCAGACAAAGTCACAGACAGTTGGGAAGCATGGCTCTCAAAGGAAAAGGGATATCCAAAGTATCTTCTCTGGACCCTCTGGTTTTAGATGAGGAACCATAAGACTTCCCAAAAGTGTGCAGCTTGCTAAAACAGAATGCTCACCCTGTTCTATAGAAGCCTTGACTTTAATGTATATCCCACTGATACATAATGCCTAAAGGAAAAAAAATTTTTGCTCATCAAATTATTTGGTCAAAACACTTATCTGTCTCTTTATAATGTAATTTTTTTGTATTTTAGAATGATGTGGAGCAGCTGAGGAGCCTGGTGAAGTTAGCAGACGCTGTCCATGAAGATGTGGAGAAAAGCCAGAATGTGTACAACAAGCTGTTTGTCAAGTGAGTTTCTTGGAATCGCCATTCATATGTAGTATCAATATCATAAACCTTGATCGTTACCAATACCATAAACTTATAATTATGGGTTCAAAGATGCCTTCTTCTAGCCGTCAGTGGGACAGGATCAGTTCTTTTGGACTTTGTGGGTTTTTAACCAGTTCACACCTGAATGTGGTGCGAGAAAAACAGGTTCTGTGCGTGTTTCCCACACCACATTGAAAAATCATTGCAGTTGCGATGTTCAGCAGATGTCAATGTTAACGTCACCCCAAACATAGGTTGCATTTGCCTACACCGGATCATATGGTACAGTAATTCCATGTGATCCAGTTGCTCTGCATTTTTTAAAGTACTGCATACAATATTTTTGCTGCAGTCTGGCGCAGTTTCAGCCCATTCAAATAGATGGACTGACGTCACACTGCACCCGTATCACGCCCGCATTGCACCCAGCGTGTTCCTGTGTGATTCGTGGTGTGGACCAGTCCTTACATAGTTCAGCTGCACACAAAGGCAGTAATGCTTGATGTCTCAAAATATTTGCAGCTCAGAAACTATTTACCTTTATTTCTACTATTTTACCACCCTTTAAAAGAGTAGATACTGTAAGTATTCATATATTTGTAGAAAATTGTAGAGGTGAGATATACTTTTTCTGATTCTGAGAATTACAAGTAAGATTTACCTGAAAATCCATTTGTTTTTTTTCCCCCTTATAGAATTACTTATTGTTTAGGGAAACAACAAATGTATATTGTGTTGTATAAAACTCAGGTTTATGTGTGGTCACCTAAAAGTTGTGTATATAAAGTAATTAATATTTCCTCTTTCCCTAGCATTGTCAAAGTAGATTACTTTAGCATCACTTACCGGCAACTAGAAAAACTGGTAAGTCATTTTTTTGTACTATATTGAGGTGTAATCAGGGGCATTTATACCTAAAATATCTTCAGCATTTTACATTGTTAGTATAATAGAACAATTTGTATGCTGCTAAAAAAAATTCTAAAATGTGTAAAAGTGAAACAGGTTCCAATATACACACTATAAAGTAGGCAATTGGTTGTGAGGCGTATTAATACTCAGTGTTGGGTTGGCTCCCAGGATACCAAGAATCCTAGATCATACCACTAGGCAATTATCATTCAGATTTTCTTTTGATTGGATGTCCAGTCATTTCCTAGGAATTACAAGCACCCTTGGAATCAAATAAAAAATTGGATGTCACATACAAGCATGAGGAAGTGATTCACATTAACCTCACAATACACCAAGTTCTAATTTATGTGATATTGCTGGCTCAGTCCTCAGTACAGAATAATAATAAGTGCTAATGAATTAAATCAACATAATGGGCTTGATTCTCTAATGATTCATAAGTGAAGCAGTTCCATCACTTGATCTGTCTTCTCACTTTTCAAATTATCTATCATTGTCATGCAAATTGATTACTGCTTCACTCTAATTTTCCTTTCATGCTAGGTAGATACTTGGGGCACAGGTGGATTGCACATAAGCCCTTCCCCTTAACACACCCTCTTGCCATGGTGCATTTTAATAAGTACCCCTATTCTGGAGATTCCCTCAAAGGCTTACATGATCGAAGAGGTGCAGTGAGAATATCAACTGAGATCTCTGGTGTTCCAAAATCAGGAGGGAGGTGGGCTGAATTTTTTTTTTATCGCAGATGTGCACTGTAAGATGAAAAATTGAAAAAACAAACTGTAACCTAAAAATAGCTTCTTCACCTTGGGTGTTAATCTCAAAATAAATATTTCAGGATGTCACTAATGCCAGTAACAATTTTCTTCTTTGTGGAACCAAGAGGCATCGCACATGATACCCACCTCCACCCAGCACCTCACTCACCGCCCTTGAGATTGCCAATCACTTCAAAAACAAGATTGACACAATTCGCAAGGACATTGCCGCAACTCACACGCCCTCTCAACCCGTCCCCTCTCACACAGCTACCCCCCTCATCCCCCCTCCCCCTCGACATTACCCGCAGGGACTTTGTCACTGCTCAAACTCCCTCCAACCCCGTTCCCCCTCACTCAGCTACCCCCTCATCACCCCTCTCCCACGGCCCCACCACTGCTCTGACCTCCACTCCCACCCCACCCTACATTCCTCATACTGAAGCTCCCCCAACACTCCACACCTTTGACCTTACTACCATCGAGGAAGTCTCCAAGATCCTCTCTGATGCCCGCCTCACCACCTGCCCCCTCGACCCTATCCCCTCACAATTCCTACGACCTCCCTCCCCCTCCATCCTACGCTCCCTCACCCACATCTTTAATCTCTCCCTCTCCTCCAGCACTTTCCCCTCCCCACTGAAGCATGCACACATCACCCCCATACTTAAAAAGCCCTCCCTGGACCCCAATGACCCGAACAACCTCAGACCCATCTCCCTGCTCCCACTTACATCTAAACTCCTCGAGCGTCTCGTCTACACCCGCCTATGCTCTCACCTCAACGACAACAACCTCCTCGATCCCCTACAGTCTGGCTTCCGCCCCCTACACTCCACCGAAACCGCCTTACTCAAACTCTCCAACAACCTTCTAACCGCCAAAGCTAATGGCCACTATTCAGTGCTCCTACTCCTTGACCTCTCTGCGGCCTTCGACACAGTTGACCACCCCCCTCCTCCTCAAAATACTACACTCCCTCGGCCTCAGAGATTCTGCTCTCTCCTGGCTCTCATCCTACCTGTCACAACGCTCTTTCAGCGTTACCTATAATGCTACCACCTCCCCCTCACTCCCCCTCTCTGTTGGGGTCCCTCAAGGCTCTGTCCTTGGGCCCCTTCTCTTCTCCATCTACACCTCCTCCCTTGGCCAACTCATACACTCTCACGGCTTCAACTACCACCTCTATGCCGACGACACACAAATCTATCTCTCAACCCCCCACCTCACCCCCTCGGTCTCTGCCCAAATCACACACCTACTGAGCGACATATCAGATTGGATGTCGCTCCACTTCCTTAAACTGAATCTCTCCAAAACCGAGCTCCTTGTCTTCCCCCCAGCCCGAACCCCACCCCCCATTGACTTCTACATCACATCCAACAACGCCAATATCAAACCCGCAATGCAGGCCAGAGTACTTGGTGTCATTCTGGACTCCAACCTATCCTTCCAGCCCCAAGTGCAATCTTTAACAAACTCGTGCAGACTCCACCTCCGCAACATCGCCAAAAAATCCGCACGTTCCTAACCCCAGAAACCACTAAACAGCTCATCCACTCCCTCATCATATCACGACTCGACTACTGCAACTCCCTCCTCACTGGCCTGCCTCGCCGCTGGCTATCCCCGCTTCAGTCGATCCTGAATACGGCTGCCAGACTCATTCACCTTTCCAACCGCTCCATTTCCGCCACCCCCCTCTGCCAATCCCTCACTGGCTTCCGATTGCGCAACGGATCAAACTTAAAATCCTAACACTGACGTACAAAGCCGTCCACCATACTGCCCCGAACTACATCACTGACCTAATATCCAAGTACCGCCCAGCACGCACACTCCGCTCCTCACAAGACCTCCTTCTCTCTAGTTCCCTGGTCTCCTCCTCCCATGCCCGCCTCCAGGACTTCTCCAGGGTGTCACCCATCCTCTGGAACTCCCTGCCCCAACCCATCAGATTATCACCTACTCTCCTCTCCTTTAGGCGCACCCTGAAAACCCATCTCTTCAGGGAAGCCTACCTCACCCCCTGCTAACTTGCCGACCTCCTCCACTCTTCCTACCACTCCATCCCCCACAGCTATCTCCTCCTGTACCACTGCCCCATCCCTTCTAGATTGTAAGCTCGAAAGAGCAGGGCCCTCGATCCCCTCATGTTTTGCATTGTATTGGTATTGTTCTGTCACATGTTCTGTCCCCCTTTGTAATGTACAGCGCTGAGTGAACTATTGGCGCTTTATAAATACTGTATAATAATAATAATAATAATGATAAGTACTATCACAGATTGATTTATGAGGTTGTTTGGTGATTATAGGAAGCATACAATAGTTCATGTTCTATATGCTATATTTCTTTCACACCATCTACCATGGCTTAACTGGCACTAGCAGCAGAGCATTATTATGTAGGCTTATTCAGTGAGGTTACTAATGACTGGAAATACGGAAAATCACTGGGAAATGCAATGCTACTGCTGGTCAATGGTGCATCTTGTCAGATATGGCATTTGCTGTATCCTAACCAATGGTAATAAAATAATTCAGGTAATACAGAGCCAGTAGGTGTCAGCAAGTGCCTTTGCTTAAAATATTGTAAAAAAGCATTTGCCTCCTCCGCTATCAATGCCTATTTCTCACATTGGATGTTTTAGATCCAAACCTTGGTTAAAAAACATGCGATCAACAAATTAGACATATTTTTAAATCTTCAGCTATTATTAATTTTATACAACAAATGTAATAGCAGAAAATAAGAAAGGGGGCTAATAACTTTTTTGGGCACTGTATATGACTACTGTGTTGTGTAAGAGAAATGTCCAGGACACAATTAGCTTTTGTATGTTACATTATTTTTTTGTTTATAGGTGGCTGATGAAGTAAGCATTATAATGGAAAACCTTAAGACATCAGAACAAGAGGAGCCTCACATCACTCATGCTATTGGGGAAACTCTGTTTGAACTTTATATCACCCTTAATGAACTAAGGCGGTTTCGAGATTATCTACCTTTAAAGTATGTGGCTTTTACTAATTTGTTAATCTTGGTGGGATGTTTGAATGTAGGTAATGGCTTAATTGACGTACAGTATGCCCTGCCTCTACGTATTTGGTTATCCAATCTGAGAGCCAGTGATTGGGTTGCTGAATGGCAGAGGGTGGGGCTTAACTCTAAGTCACAGTAGTCAAGAACTCTGTATAGCATACATCCGGGATTAAAGTTCTCTCCAGTCACCAAGAAAAAAAATGAAGATCAATACAGGCACCCTGTTCATGCAGTTATATGATCTGACATATTTACTTTAAATTTGAATTTCATTCTTAAGTGTATATCTGGTTAACAAGCTAAGAACAGACATTTGCTTGAGGTCAAGTTGATCTGTTGAAGGGATAAGCATAGAAAACCCAAGGTGTCAAATTCTTCTCTCATTTTTCCAGAGCTGGTTTGAAGTTAAAAAGTGAGACTTGTATGGACTTGCTATGGGAAGAATGTTAATGGACATCCCTGTTAAGCCATTCTGATACCCCTCGACAGTGTTTCTGAAATTTAAACCTAAAGCTGATCTCCATAAAAACTGCTAAATCCAAGGATGAACGCATATGGGAGATGTTTTACACAACATTGCCAGACATTATAGCCAGGCTGGTGGCCTGTCTTCTCTCTCCTGTAGTTAAGCAAATTATCTTGGTCACCTCCCTGTCCATTTATAATTGGCCAGTGAGGGAGCTGAATGATGATTTCATCATGTTGCTTTACAGTATATTTGCATGCAGCACATGTAATTGGTTCTTAGTCCTGCCCATCATCTTCCAGACTAAATCCTACAGTACAGAAGATTACATGAGGCTATTTAGGTTAAGTCAAGTTCAGGTACCTAAACTAGTGCCTTTTAGAAATAACAGTTTGTAATGAATACATAACTGCATTAACCAGTATATCTTTGTCTGCCAGGAGGTCACCTATAAATCATGCCTTATGAATTACTTTTTTTAATTGCCTACATTTTATGGTCTAAAACATACAAAGAGAGAGCGCACGACCACCGTAGTGTAATACCATTTTCTTGTAATAAGGGTTAAAAACTTAAAAATCAGGATTAAAAATCAGATTGCACTCACATTTCCACATAGGTAACAAGCATGTCTGCATGTAAAGTGATCCACCATGTGGTCCCTGTAAGATCTGAAGCATCTGGGTGATCCACTGCCAACCGCAAGCAAGCGAGGGCTGCACTGAAGGCACAGTGACAGACTGCTGGCATTCCTCCCCACCACGCATGCGCCCAGTCCAGTCAGCGTCATGTTTCGTAGGCAGCTGGTATCTCCAAGGGAGGGCGGATCACAATGTAGGAACACACGTCACAGTTGCTATGATGATGCGTTTTGGAGGCATTTCCTCCTTTATGAAGTCACACTCACTCCCTCTCATCAAAGGTTTTATAGGAACAATGGCTCCTCCTGGCATTCGGATGTTAAGGGACCATCCAGCCTGCAAAACAACCATTTGACCCTGTATAGCAGTTTGCGTTAAAAACAGAGGGTTTTATTTGCATAAATTTGGAAATACACACGTAAGCCGCAGTCCTGCATCAAGGGTCCTCTGTATACTAAGGACCTAATTGTAAAATTTTAGAGTGGTGTGGTCCCTTAAGATCTGAATGCCAGGAGGAGCATGCCTCCGAAATGCGTCATCATAGCACCCTTTACGTGGTTGTGACGTGTGTTCCTACATTGTGATCCACCCTTATCTTGGCTGGAGGGAGATCTGCTAGCTAAGGTCACAGGCAATAGTAAAGCTCTGCTGTAGTGAGTTCAGTTGCATATTCACCATATTTTTGTTATTGAAGTTTATCTTGGAATTATCGTCTGAATAATACAATCAACACTTGGAAAATAATCTGTTTTTCTGTTGTGTTGCCTTCTTGTGAAATTTCCTTCACACCACATTTTTTTCACAGAGACAACAAGTCATTGGCCTTGACGGGGTTTCATGAGCTCTTTAAAGTGTCCATCCACACATGGCTGCAAACTGTGCATGAAAAGACCTGTGAGAGAATACATCGGGCTGTAGAGGTTGATAAGGTAAGAAGAACGTATTTGTGTTTACAAAATGTAATCTACACCTAACGTATGGATTGTTCTGGCTTTATATTAGGTGTCTTCCAAGAATATATATCACCTTACTGAACTTTAACTTTTGACTATTTTAACATGTTGTTTTTTACAAATGTCTAAAATGAACCATTGGGGCTATTTTCACACATAATGCAGTGACCCGTGTTTTTCCACGCTGGAAGGACGGCAGTCACCGCTGTTCACAATGCAATGCGCTGCAGTGATCTGCAATCTGCAGACATGCTGTATTTTATCGCAGGGGTGAAGGGTTTTTCTCAGCTAAGCACACCCTCCTGTCTGCATGCCTGGGCTAAGGGCAGATGGACTCCAGAAAGTGAATGCTACATGAATCTTCTGCCCTTACTCAAGATGGCCACGGCCAGAAAATGCTAGGGGGGGTGTGTGTTTCAAAGTGATTTCTCAGCAAAATAAAACACTCAGATATGGATGGGTGAGTTCACTTTGAATTTTAAAAATAAAATAAATTTGGTTTTTGGCTTGTGGTGCTCAGATTCAGTATAATTCTACATGTATGAGGCAATCAAATTTCAGTAAAATAATGTACATATATTCATTGCATGCAATGTTGTGTTTATGTGAATATTTCTGGGTAGTAGGTTCATAAATTTCATCAGACACTTAATGGGTCCACAATTCATAAAAGGTTAAGAACTACTGGTCTAAATGTTTCCATCTTTACCTGGTCTAGCAAATTGAGACAACCAGACCTATCTTACCACAAATGGCCAGAATAATAGGCTAAAGAGATTGTAAACCCTTACAAATACCCACTGAATTGGCTAGCATCAGGTGATACAAAGAGATGAAAAAATTCTCCTACATAAGTTGTACCTGGTTATCTGAAGCTCTCTGTCGTCTATAGCCTTCTAATGCACACATTTTACACAGCATTTTGACCTTCAGATAGCAGGGGGCAGGAATGTGATGCAAAAGGGATAACAGGAGCATGGTGTGGCAGTCCATGTATGTTTGATGAGTTCAAAATGGGCAGGGGTAAAAGGTAGTCCAGTAGGCACTAAGGGCAAGCTGCGTAGTAGCGAAGCATAACTCTGCAGAAGGGAAACAAAGAAACACAACGCCTCTAAGTGTGTACTGTGAAGGTATTTAATAGAAAGATAAGTAGTAACTCACATCTTAGAATTTAAAAACAGGTTCATGGGTAAGAGGGTGAGAAGTCTATAGCCAGATGTTGTGTGACTGATCCAGAGAGGAGATCGATCAGCAGGTAGTGCTGTGTATGTGCAACATGGATGTTAAGCCTGGTGGAATCTCCAAGCTGTCTGCCAGCAGATGGTGCTGTGCATATGTAGCATAGATGGTGAAGCATGGCAGAGTCTCCAAGATGTCCGGGATCAGCACGTGTGGCGTCTGACGTCATCAAAATGCGATGCGTTTCATCATGCCCTGCCTGATGAAAGAGCGCGCCTGGACTCCTCTCGTCCTGCACATGCTCAGAAACGTGTCACATTTTGATGATGTCAGATGCCACACGTGCTGATCCCGGACATCTTGGAGACTCTGCCAGGCTTCACCATCTATGCTGCATATGCACAGCACCATCTGCTGGCAGACACCTTGGAGTTTCCACCAGGCTTAACATCCATGTTGCACATACACAGCACTACCTGCTGGTGGACTAATCGATCTCCTCTCTGGATCAGTCACACAACATCTGGCTATAGACATCTCACCCTCTTACCCATGAACCTGTTTTTTTAAATTCTAAGATGTGAGTTACTACTTATCTTTCTATTAAATGCCTTCACAGTACACACTTAGAGGTGCTGTGTTTCTTTGTTTCCCTTCGGCAGGAATGTGATGTCACACTTTGCCCAGCTCAGAGAGGAGAGCTGAGTATAAACTGAGAACTGAGTGGAGGGAAGGGACACATTCTCCCCTCTACACATTCTCGTTAGGAAACATACACAGCTGAGGCTTTTAATCATCCACTGTGTGATGAGCGGTGGTGTCTCTTGGGATTGCATGGTATTGGCATTGACCCTTATAAGTGACTCGTGCAGATAGCAGAGGAATGGCAGAGCAGACAGAAATCACAATAGGTGCTTTGGATCAAGACAAGTACACACCATAGAAGGATATGTTTTTTGTTCATTTTGCTTTTGCAGAGGTTTACAGCCACTTTATTAGATTTCTGTAGAATATTTGGGAACTTTAAGATTGGGTATTTGATTTTTATATCAGCCCCCTTGCAGTAATATACAGCTTTTGGATCTTACTTGCATCTTCATGGATGGTGAAGCCAGAGGCAGGGTGTTGCACATTTTGTAAAAGAAAACCAATGCGTTGGTTTAAAACAAACATAAAAGCTTGAGATCATACAACAGGAACCCTTAGCAGGCTGCAGATTCTTCATCTTCTATGTTCCCCCTGGGGACAGTGGCTCTTTTAAATTTAAGTGGCGGATAAAATTGGAACTAGTGTAAAGTTCAGAAAAGAGATTAAGAAACAGAAAGCACGACTGGAATTTCTTTGATTAGGCCTTTTGATTCTTGTAACTAGATGGGCATTCTTAACATATGTGTTTGTTAACTAACTTAATAGCTTGCTTTTTTCAGCTGCATTATACTATACTAACAACATAGGAAAACATCAGGAATATATGGTTATTAATTTATTTAAAGCAGAATGATCTTTATTAAAGGAGAAGTATGGTCAAAGTTCTTTTGGCCATACTTCTCCTATGGATCACAGGAATGCTAAAATTTGCTGTCAGCTGATGTCACAGAACTGGTCCAGGCTCTGCAGGGATCCTGACAACAATGTCAGGATCCACCCACCTACCCGACTGGCAGCTGGCTCAGCTTCTCAGTGCATCTCCACAGTCCAGAACAGAGAGCAGTGATTGACAGTCACTATCGCTTCCTGGAGCCTGAGAATTGACAGTCAGCAATCTTTGAATGTTCAGTTCTTGGTGTAGAGTCGGCAGGGGACAGCTGCAGCATCGAACCAATGCTGCAGCTATCTAGTTAGATATTGAGTATGAATGTTTGTATTTTTTTTTTCCCATACTTCTCTTTTAAGTGATAAAGTTTAAGTTTAGACTACTGATTTTAAACTAGACTTTGTAGTCTTAATGTAACACAATAAAACAAAAATACAATGTGAATACAAAATATGTGATATATAAAGTAAACACCACTATGAAAGCTCCTGTGATAAGGTGTATGACAAATAAAGACTAGTCCATCCTGCAACTATTCTAAATAAACTCTTCTCAAAAAGTTTGATCTCTCCACCCTTAATAAAAACTTTTTATTCATGGTGGAGAGATTTAATTTTCTTGAGAAGAGTTTATTTAGAACTGTTACAGGATGAACTAATCTTTATTTGTCATACACCTTATCACAGGAGCTTTCACAGTGATGGACAGAACTGTGAAAACGTGACACCTCAGTGCGAAAAATGGCAGAGAAGCTGACCTCAGAAAGTACACATGCAATGACCTGTGCAGGACCGGCTGGATGGTTAACATGGAGCAGCCCTCCTCATATTGGGGAATCTTGAGCTATACAAACAACAAAAACAGAAGGGCACAAACACCTAGTGCATTATTTCCAGCACTATATTAAAAGATTAATGATACAAATTATACTCTCAAACCAAAGTGAATTGTTAGCATATCATGAATACAGAAACCAGAGGTGTACCCTCTAACCTCATAGGACCAAAGAGATGACCGTACCAACTGACAAGTTTTGCTGGACTGACCCCCTTCCTCAGAGCAAAGAATGTACCATTTCTTGCTCTGAGGAAGGGGTCAGACCCCCGAAATGCTACCAATCCACTATGGTTTGTGAGTATAATTTTTATAGTTCATCTTTTAATAAAGTGCTGTAGATAATGCACTAGGAGTTTGTGCCCTTCTGATTTTGTTTATTTTTTGGCTTCCACTGTGATGTATATTTCATATAACCCATATTTTGTGTTCATTGCGTCTTTCTTGAGTATCTTTCTTTTGGGTATATTGAATGGAAGGCTGCAGTATTATTGCACATTGTATTATTATTTTTGGGTTATTGTATGGCTGTATTGCTGAGTTGGGTGGTTTCATTGGCTTTTACTCTGCCTTCTTCTGGAACAACGCTATGAACATGTGGGTGGTTGATCTTGATGGACATCAGTTTTTTTCCAATCTTATTGTCTTATGCATGTAAGATAAAAGTACTGTAGCACATAGCAGCCATTGAGCAGGGATCGTCTATTGTTCTAACTGCTGATTACCATGGATTTCTGCACTTTTTAAGTTATCATTGATTTTTTTTGCTGAAAACATAATGTAAGGGTCGCAAAAGCTGTACACACCTGGAACTCAGACTCAGATATCTCACTAACAGACTGCCTGAGAGGTATAATTAATTGTTATGTATTGGCTTTCCAACTAATAAAATTAAAATATCAGGTTTGGTTTGGACTGACTTTTTATTTTCAATATTTCTTTATTGAATTTACAACAAGGGTTGACACAAATAGAAATGTAGCATAGGCCTGGTTAGCCCATAACAAGGTATCAGTAATACTTGAACAGAAAGAAAACAAAAATAAAACAAATATTACAAGAGTATCACATTGAAGTGTCTTATATCAAGGTCAGTATACTCGTCTAGCAGATTTTTTGGTATTGCTCATTCCATGGCTGCCAAATAATGTTCGCTGCCTCATGTTTGCCTATTAAGTATATAGTGTTTCAAATGTGGCATGTGTTTGGACTACTTGTATTACCTCGTTTATAGTTGGGGGTTTGAATTTTTCCAGTTTCTTTAGAGGGTTAGGCCTGCTGCTAGTAAGATGTGTGTTATTACTCCCATCAAGCTATTGGGTACTTGACCTATTCATAGGGTAAAATAGAGCCATGCCTGCTGAAAATGGAAGTTGAAGTACCACAACTGTTGAGAGCAAGCGGAATTCTTCCTCCCAAAAGATGAGGA